AATAGATTTCTTTTGATTGACGATTGTCACCCTCTTCTCAATATCAGATGCAGGGATCTCGGCACATGCCCTGAACACCCGAAGCCACTCATTGCTCTCCGCACCAATGAAGTGAGCAAAGACAATGGGGCAAAGCTGATGACTAGCATCGTACCGAACTACTTGAAATGTTGTCCCATACGACTGCATCCCCACTCCCTCACAGTGAGCGGCATCCGAGCTTGATGTGTGAGGGCCAGTATCGCAGTAATTCTTCGCAGTGGAAGGAACGAATAACAATCCAATGTAGTAGCGCCCTTGTTCAATATCAGATTCGTTCACATCTTCGGAATTAAATGAAGAATCTTTCTGTAGATCGTTCCCTTTCTTGCATTGCTCAAATGTGTGTCTAACCGCCTTCATCCGTTGCACCGTCATCTCCGCCGCACCACAAATGAAGATTTACACCCTATGTCCCGCCCCCCTTAGCAAATCGGCTTACCCTTCAAATGCGGTCATGTCCACAGCACGTGAGATCGTATAGTGACGAGACAATTCTCTGCGAGTACTGCGATAATGATTGTAAGACGGCTGACGGAAATATATGAGCTTTGCTTCAACAACTGAAGCAATATCCTTGCAATGGACATTCGGATCATCTTGCACATGCTCCAAAATTGCTTGGGGAATCTGCTGGGGTGTGTGAGCAGGTGTACATGACGACAAACGCGAAGTGATTTGCATTGGGGTGTCGGTGACGTGTTGTCCGAAACACTCATTGAGGTGCTCTTCGTACTCGTTCAGTTTCCAAAGACCCGTCTTGATTGAGCTGCTCACATCTCCAACGGGTATTCAAAGCCATTCCGACCTTCGGTCTTACGTCCACGATTGGACGAGGCTTCCAGGTCATCGCCGGAAATCGTTCTGCTCGCAGAGCTTCCTTCGCACGGTGCATTGTTCGGCGCTTCGATTGACGCTTTTGCAACGCTCCCCCACTTTCTTGTCGGTTCCGTCCGGAATAGGATCATCCGTACTGTCCTTTCTTTCGTCCTCCTCTATTTCAATATCAATGTACCGCATGGGGTCGAAGTCCCCGTCCGACTTGTCATCTTCATCAGAATCCATAGCCAAGCAATCGGGTGCCTCTCTACGCTCTTCCACTTCACCCACTCTTTCGTCATCAACATCATCTCAACGGGGTGTCAAAAGTGGCTTGATGGGGCTTGATGAGGTGAATGCTGTCTACCGTGGAGGCAACAGATGGTAAGGGGATGACAGCAGTGCAGAAATCGTGCTTGAGATATCCCCACAATTATCCTTCGTTTTGGAAATTTCGTGCTTGAGATCCCCTAAAATCCTCGGTTACTGGTCATTTTACACTACTATACCGGCGACACGCTTCGACTTAGTTGTTTTGGACGGGCAACAAAAGTGATCCGAAGGTGACATCTCGCTTTTCGGGTCCATCACGCTGCTGTTTTTCCTCCTTTCGCCCCGCTTTTGCAACAACAATTCATGATTCGGACCCTATTCACAACAGAAAAGTCAATTTCACCCGTCTGTTGCCACCAAAATGCACCTGATCGCCCCCTAAACGCAAAATTTTAGTTCAGATATCAAAACCGTGATGAAAGAAAACCGCTGAGATCATTCTCATTATTCTTCATGATTCTTCATGCAATGTGACATGTGGCGCAATCATTTTTATTCAAGTCAATATTAGAAGAGCCTGTTGCGCATATTGCCCAATCAGCCTGCCACTGGTAGAACAGCCCCTGAGCCAATATACGGTGTCCTGGCGTCTGTAGAAGAGACCTGTAAATGATCGTCGGCGCAGTGCAGATTCTGATACTGCCGCGATCTATCAGCAACAGCCATAGGGAGGCGAACGAGAGGCGAGGGAAGGTTCGAAAAGGACGCGCATCACACAGGAGTTTTGCAACGAAGTTGTTCTTGTCCGGTCCCAGCTCTCTCACTCCATTCGCTGTTATCGAAATGCAAGGATCGCTTTGTGCACGGCCGGAATCATAATGAACGTCCTCGTTTCTGCATACCTGTGCTACAGTGTTGTCGTCTCAGTTACCTGAATTTGATCTACGGTTTCAATACAGTACTGTAGTGTCTTCTCGAAACGACTCCCTGGTGTAGACTCTCGCGCAAGTCCCCCCCCCCCCCCCCCCCCCTCCCCCCCCCACCATACACAACTTTACCGTTCATGATCTATCTCTTAAACGTTAGGGTGAATTTGTGAATGTGTACCATCATTGCACGGTAGGCCTTCACAAATGTCATCTTCTTTTAGAACTACAGTATTCATGACTGCACAGTACACTACATTATGTCTTTCGTTTTAGAGCTGTACATGATACTGCACTGTAGAAAATACAAATCGCGGAAGAGCGTACCATACTTTTTCAACCCTGTTGTCGAGAAAAATAGCTGGTCTATGAAGAAATTCCCAGGTATGTCTTGGCTAAGATCTATGCCATAGCATATGCGCGGTTAGAGTTTTCAGCGTCCAAACTGACAAGCAAAATAGTGCGCATAGCGCATCACACTCACAACATCAGTTGGAGCGCATGTTACTCTCATGAATGGTGCGTGCTCAAAGAACTGTGTATGATCTACAATACATGGGTGCCTTGGCAGCAGCAACTTGTCTTCCCATTCAAGTCCATTCAATGCTCTGTGGAATTGAATGGTGATACATTTGCCTCAAAATGGAATTTATTAAGCACCACAAATCACAGTTTTTGACACAATGTTTCCATTTACAAACCAAAAACCTTGGATTGGGAATCGCCATGTAAGAAAAACTGAACAACGAGAACGTTCGAGATGCAAAACGTCGAAAGCAGCGAGCTGTAGTGCTAATCGCTCTTGATGTGTAGAAATGCGAACGACAGTGACATGCAAGCTCCCGGAATAAACCGCAATTCTACCAAAGTAAATCTTGTTCTTGATATTGATCACCTTACATTTATTTATATCGAAAGTATGACCTTCATGGTCCTCTGTTCTAATCTCTTGTAATAATATGCGTACAGGGCATACATCAGAATAAACATGTGCTTCAACATGAGAATTTAAACCACAATTCTAATGGAGAATGACACACGATTGTTTAGTTCGAATTCTTTTAAACGATTCTAGACGCTTCGCTGTGGTGTTTAGTGTCTATCCGACCGGGGCTTGCTCTCATATGAGGACAGCTCTTTTTTTGGAAAAAAATGTATAAATTAAATTGAACATTCAAAAATCTACCTTGAGCACTATTTCCATAACATGCTTGTTTTCGGCAATAGCATCTTGCAGAACACCGGAATAGCAGCTTTGAATGCGCAAAAAGCTTAAGAATATACTGCAGATTGAGTACCAAGTTGCCTTTTTGAAATGGCGTTTTTGGTTTCAAAGTTATTTTGCATGCGGCTTTAGGGTGGTTTAAAAAAGTTTGTTTTGCAGACATATCTAAAAACGACCACGAAGAACATGCAACTCTCACAAAGTTCTTTCTGTTCCCAAGTCAGAAATCAAGTACTGTGGAGGGGGTATCTTTTTCTTTCTTGTCGGGGAAGCGAAAGTGAACAACAAAATAGATCGAATACTGTCCTCATATGAGAACAATGGTCTAATAGACACTAGTTAGGCTTTAATGTTTCTTTGACCTCGGCCTGTCCTCATATGAGAATAGCCCTTCTTTTTGCAAAAATACGTATATTATTAAATTACTAATTTAGAAATCATTTTGGACAACATTTCCTTTTCGTACTTGCCTTCGGTAATAACATGACACAGAACATCGGAATACTGTATCTGTTTTTGATTACACCAAAAAAACTAACAATATAATGCAGATTAAATAACCAGTTGCCTTTTTGGGGCGTTTGGGTTTGCAGCTATCATACATGTGGTTTCAGGGGAGCGAGCATCTTTTTCCGTCTTGCAGAGAAAGCGCAAGTCAAAAAATAAATAAGCTGAAAAGTGACCTCAGAATGGGACAACGCTCGGATAGACATTAGGGAAAGGATCTTCGTTTTAACCCATGTGAGTTCAAATTTTATTGAACCAAAGACAATTTCATCAATTCAAATATGCGGTGTAATAGTTTTCAGCTCTGATACCTGAACTTCTTTCTTCACTTTGATATGTTTATTAAAGCTGAGTTCGGAAGTGAATATTCTTCAAAATTCTTACATCTCGGCAGCGCCATCTCATGTACCAAACGTGTGCAAATGTCGATCCTAAATATGGATATCTTCAGCGAACTCGAAGCGAACTGACAATGTATCTTTGCTTGGAGACAGTAACATATGGCTGCACTTTGACATGTATGGAATATAAGACAAGACGGCTCCATTTTGCTCTTGTTAGAAACATGCAAATACGTACTGGAGGTGAATCAAAAGAAAGCTCTACGTCGAGAACTTCTGGTTCTAGTTCTTTTCAAGAATAGCATGAAGTCGAACATAGACACGTGGTATGTAAAAGTGGCATCAGTCTATGACGTTATAGGCTGGCACAATTCTTGAAGTCAACTCCTGCGGTGGGTCAGTGGGGATCTCGTAAAGGTGACTTCAGTCTATGACGTCATACTGTAGGCCGGCACAATCCTTGAAGTCAACGCCTGTGGTATGGGTCTGTGGGGATCTGTTTTGATCCATTTGGATAGGGTCCATGCTGTTTCTATGAATTGGATCATAGGACAATTTCTCAGCTTCATTCCTCGGAAGGGGAACTGAAAGTATTTTGAAAATGTTTGGTATGGATCTGCACTTTGCGGGTAATTTGGCGGGAAATTTGTCGTACTGCGACAGAGATGTTCCAGGCTCTACTTGGCGCCAACGAGCCGCTCAAGTGTACCCTACCCTACTGTTCAGCCCCCTTAAGGACCTGACCCACTCGCCACACCATCATCTCAGGTGTGGTGATCGCGAAACACCGTCCTTTTTGACGACGACTTATTTTTCTCTGCAGAACACTGCCAATCTGCAGTTCTTTGCGTCAGCCACTAAATTGTGGAAATGACCGCGGTAGACAAGTTTCGGCAGCGCTTTGGCAAGCTGTGGGAATCCTGGAAGTCGGGAACGGCAAATGGCTTTTCGGGCTCTTGTGCAATGCTAGTAGCAACCGGCGTTTTTGGTGCTGATGAAGACATTGGATATCTCAAGTCCTTTGCACTTGTCACATGGCTTTTTGGCGCCGAATTGCAGGGCTGCGCGGTGGTGCTTTCAAAAACCACAGCAACTCTTGTTTTTCAGAATGATGACTTCCCTGCGTTCACGCCTCTTTCTTCATCTGCGAAAGACGGTCTACCCGAGATCAACGTGCTCAACGCTACGCCGATCGACAAAGTAAAGGATGCTTTTGAAAAGGCAATTGCAGGTGACGGGAGTCTCGCCGTGCTCACAAAGGAAATTCCGAACTCTGAAGGACCTGTGGCCGAGCTTGTGGCAAAGCTGTCGAAGGCAGGTACCCCGGTGAACGTAGCCCCTGCCTTAGCAGTGGTCCTGGCGGTGAAGGACGAAGAAGAGGAATTGCGGGTCAAAAAGGCTTCGATTTTGTCCGCTCACGTCATGAAGACGTCCCTCACGGAGAAAATTGAGAAAACTATAGACATGGATCGCAAAGTGAGACATACAACCCTCTCCGAGATCGCGGAGGACGCTATCATGAATCCGTCCAAATTGAAGGTACCCTTGAAGGCTGATTTCTGCGATCCATGCTATCCACCCATTATCCAGAGCGCAGATGCAAAATCACCAGATCGTAAGTTTGACTTGAGGCCGAGCGCTGCTAGCAGTTCCGAACATCTCAGGTTTGGTTGCATCGTTGCAAGCATTGGCGCCAGGTTCAATTTTTATTGTAGTAACATTTCCCGCACGTTGCTCGTGAATCCTTCAAAGACGCAAGAGGCTGTTTATGATGTTGTGCTGGCTGCCCAAACCGCAGCGATACGCGCTCTGATTCCGGGAAGTCCGTTAAAGGTTGCATACGCTGCTGCCTTACAGGCCATTGAGAAGGGTACTGAGGAGAAAAAGAAGAAGGGATTTGCGATGCCCAACTTGATCACAGCGTGCGCGAAGAACGTCGGATTTGGAATGGGAATAGAGTTTCGCGACAGTGCACATGTGCTGAACGTGAAGAACGAGAACAAGGTAAAAAAGGGTATGGTTTACAACGTGTCAGTCGGGGTTCAAGATCTGAAAGACCCAGAGAATGGAATGTATGCCGTTCTCATTGGCGACACTGTGCATACACGAGAGAGCAAGTTGGGACCAGACATATTCACCTCGGCAAGCAGAAAGGACTTCAAGCATATAAGCTATTTTATTGGCAATGAAGAGGATGAGGAGGACAATGTCGAGGAGGTGGATGTGAGCAAGTCTCGACGCACTAACGGACATGCTCTCGCTGAGAATGATGGCGGAAGATCTCGGAGACGAGCAGCTATTGATGCGACGCAGGCTGCCGGAACGGAAGAAGAAGACCAGAAACGGCGAAAACACCAGGAAGCGCTGGCGAAGAAAATGCTTGATCGCGGTAGAGCTAGATTACAGGGGGGAGATATTCTCACAGTTGATGATGCCCAAGTCACGAAGAAGAAACAGCTTGATGAATTTCGGGCATACGCATCTATTGCAGACTTTCCAAAACTGAAGGCGCAAACAATCATGGTCGACATGGAAGCCGAAGCAATCATCGTTCCCATTAATGGGATTCCCGTACCCTTCCACATATCCACACTGAAGAATGCGAACAAGTCCGATGAAGGACAATACAGCTACCTGCGAATTAATTTCCACATTCCCCAGACTGGAGGTGGTCGTGGGATAGGCCGAGTTTCTGATAATGCTCCAAAGTTTCCGGAATTCGACGTCAGTGATGGTTCATCAACTGCCTTTGTTAAGGAATTTACGTTTCGATCATCGAACCCCATTAATCTCAACGATTGTCTCCGAAAAATCAAAGAGCTTCGGAAACGTGCAACCGAGAAGGCCACAACTGCCATCGCGAAGCAATCTTTGGTTACACAGCAATCGCTGGTTCTTGAGCGTGGGCGGAGGCCCTTCTCGTTGCAGAGTGTATCAGTTCGACCGCCCATGGCGAAGGGAAAAAACAACGTTGGGCACCTTGAGGCGCATACTAATGGCTTCAGGTACAGATGTCGTAGTGGATCCATCGATATTATATATGCAAACATTCGAAATGCCTTCTTTCAAGAAGCAAATCGGGAGTTGTTGGTCGTCATTCATTTCCACCTAAAAAATGATATCATGGTAGGTACCAAAAAGACCAAGGATGTACAGTTCTACGTGCAGGTAATGGAAGCCGTCGTCAAACTAAACGAAAATCGCCGCCGTCGTCAGTTTGATCAAGATGAGCTGGAAGAAGAGCAACGAGAACGAGACTTGCGGAATCGGACCAACCGGAATTTCCTGAAGTTCACAAAAGACGTCGAGGAGCGCTATGGGTTGGAATTTGATCTACCTTATCGGCAATTGCAGTTCACTGGTGCGCCGAAATCTGTCTCCGTTACGTTGCTCCCAACCGTTTCCTGTATTGTGAACCTCACCGAATGGCCTCCATGCGTTCTAAATCTAGAAGACGTCGAGGTGGCACATTTTGAGCGTGTCATATTCCAACTTCGTATGTTTGATGTCGTGTTTGTATTTAAGGGATTTGAAGATGACCCAGCAGCATCTGGGAAAGCCGCAAAGGACATGTGGATGCGAATTAGTTCCATTCCGATGGAGGAATTAACGCCTCTGAAGCGGTATCTGGACGAACAAAACATCAAATATTACGAAGGAAAGGCCAGCCTGCAATGGAACGAAGTCCTGAAGAGCATCCGCAATGACCTCGGGCAATTCTATGAAGATGGCGGATGGAACTTTCTGTCTCTGGATGGACCTACGGACTTTGACGGCGCAGACCCCAGCGACGAGGACGTAGACAGTTTGGAAGGAGACGCTGAGTTCGAGCCGAGTCAATCTGAAGAGGCCTACGGAAGCGAGGACGAAAGTAGTGACGCAGACAGCGGCAGTGATGCTTCAGATGCCGTCAAAGAACTAGAGGGTAATTCAGATGAGGGAGAGGTTGAACTGAGTTCGGATGAGGAAGGTTTGGATTGGGAAGAACTGGAACGAAAGGCACAAGCTGATGATTTGAGGAAAGGGCGGACATCAGATGATGACAATGATAATCGGTCAAGACGCAGAAATGCTGGCCGGAGTAGGCCAAGCGGTTCTTCAAACCGTAGGCCAAGCGGTTCTTCAAACCGTAGGCCAACATCATCTGGTAAAAAGAGGAGTCGGCGGGAGCGGTAGACGCGAGCGCTTGTGTCAACGAATACCTCCAGATATGACCAATGGTTGCCTGTAAAGCAATATGATTAGGCTCATGAAGAATGCAAATATGCCAGCGGTTCCGCTGAGTAGGCTCGCTTTCAGACGAAGATAGCGATGCCGCCAGAAACGACGACATTCGGTGCATAGTTTACAAGAAAAGATGTGTTAGATATCTGTCTGCGTACTCCTTGTACGCGCAATCGTCCTACGCACAAGCGCTGCACAGCGATCTCCACGAGCGAAAGCAGCCTTGTGTATCACTCAGGACGAATTACTATACCTCGGTAGCTTTGCTCTTAATTCTTCCATGCTGCAATCAAGTCGATCGAAGACAACCTTGACGTCATCTTTTTTTTGCTGTTCTGATGCTTGTGCATTCTTCGCGATCACCATCGGTGGAGCCTGCGGGCTATGCTGCGTCGGGGGCAACGTCGCCTGTGACGGAGTAGAACCCTGTTGAGAAGAAGGGGCAGCGATGTGAGGCACGGTATGGCCATATTGTCGGTTGGCAGGCGGGAAGGGTTGTTGGTGGTATGGATGCGCATATTGTGCCGACGTGTGGGTGTAGGGATAGTAATATGGCGCGGCGGGAGCACAGGAATAGCCTGCTTGCTGATACGTACTTTGCTGGGGGTAGCTTGGATGTGGATACGCAGGTTGCGCGTAGGTATTCGGCAAATAGGCATTGTGCGGGTATACCTGAGACGGGTTGGTTTGCGGCGGCCAGGGGGCGGCGCCGTTTTGGTAGGGATATTGTTGCTGTGTGTGATAGCCCGCGTACCCGGGTGCTGCAGCTTGCGGATACTGCGAAGTGGTGCGCCGTGCTTTTGAGGCCGGAGCCGAGTCGAGACTTGCGTAGTACGAGTCTGGGATTCCCTTCATACCGAGGACTTCTATGTGGACGTCATCCCTCCCCGGAGTAGCGTTTGGTACTTTTGCGATAGTGATGTTGTGCATTTGCGAGGAATGAACGGCCATGCTAGGGATGGAGAGCATGCGCTTATGGCACGTTGGACAGCGGAGATGCTTCTCACGTTGGTGAGTGACGAGGGTTTGTTCGGTCTGGAAGGTGCGGTCGCAATAGTAGCAGAAGATGCGGGATGCGGGGTCTGAGACTGCACGCTTCTTCTTGCGACCCATAGAGAACTCAAGGCCGGAGGCAGAGCGGATAGAAGGAGGCAAAAAGAGGGACGGATGCCGCCGGCAAGTCGGTGAAGATGCGAGGTGGATCGGGACGGGAACCGGCAAGTCTGCAGGGTGCTGAGCGGGAATTGTAGACGGCCCTCATGCGTGGCTTGGCAGATACGGTTTGAGACAAGCCACTGTATACTGTACCCTTGGGTACTGGACACTCTCTACTGTACACGTGTGATATTTTTGATCCAATTCACTTTCTTTTCGGTTGTGGCAGTGGAACAGTCCTCTTTCATTCGAAATCGATTCGTACGGAAGCCCTAATGCTTCTATAGCGTCTATAGCTTGCTCTTCCAGAGACGCGGGAATTTTTGAGCTCCCAGTTGGCTTCAACAGGAATGAATTCAGGGCAAGCAATCAATCCACATCACATTGTTTCTTTTACACCCACAAAGGGATTTCTCCCCTGATCCGCCGTTGAACGCGTTAAAAAGGACTGACACCGTTTGGGAGATAACTATCCCGAAGCCCGATACGAAAAGCAAGAAAAGATTCACATATCAGGGAAACTTTGATGGGGTCTCGTTCCTAGCGAGATCCAGACAAAAAGGCAAAGAAAAATATTACCACTTCTTCAAATGCGAGGAGTTTGACGTGCATTCTATTTAATACCGCGAAGGGAATCCAACCTGTACATGTATCTTGTGATACCTGAATGGCCTCTGTTTTCGATCTCTATCCCTTCAATTGATTCTTTACCTTCGCCCATCTATCAGCCTGATATAACTCCTGCTGCCTCCGAAACGAAAATCGGAACTAGAAATGCAAAATTATAGACACGTCGCAGTTCACCCCTGACTGCATGGCCCACTTTTCTGAACACCAGCTAGGAGTAATCGAATAGTTGGTTGCGAACCGCTGTCCGAGTCAAATATATAGAATCGATTAGCGGCCAGTGCATGTGTATGTACGAATCAAAACCCGACTACAAGCTCTCACGCAGAGTGGTAGGAGCGGCGGTGCTTTTAACTCGAGCACTTTTAATACGTATATTGGCCTTCTTTCAATTTTGACTGGCTGCAAGCCAAAAAACTCCATCGCCTTTCAACAGATTCCACATTCATGAAGAGCGGACGCCGATAAAAGCTACAATCATCCATGAATGTCTCGCTGGCATTTATATGTTCAAGCCAGGGGTCCATGGGAACCAAAATGTTAGGAGCACACACACACACACACTCATTCCTCTTTTACCTTTCACCATCCGAACAACGCTCACCACAATGTTCACCATCAGCGAGCTCATGCAACAGCTCAGAAATCTCGCTTTCGACTTAAAAGTCACGGCTGTTTGCTTTTTCCTCAAAAGTTTTCGGCGCAAGAGCATGAAAGCTGCCACCCGGGAACATGAGGTTGAGTCAACAAGTGCAAACTCGGATTCTGCCAAGTCGAGGATGTTTTCCAAAAAACAAACTGCAACCTCGGATTCAAAGAAGGAATCCGACGCGCGAACAAAGCGGAGTGGAAGAAGCAGTAGTTGGCATTCGTGGGACAGAAACTCATCGAGGCAGGTCGAGCGCCTACTTCAATATTATGAATGGGTGAACCGCGGCTCAGGTGGGAACTGGGTCTGTACGAATTCAGTGTTGGACCTGGACCAGTCCCCTTATCCTCGAACGAAGACTTCGAGTAACCGGTATGACGACAGACTTTTTTTACACATACCGAAGCATTCTGCAGAGACAAATAGACCGAGGCCTGCATCGCGTCAGATTGCTAGTAATGTTTATTCTGATCGTGTTTGCAGGATTGCCAAAGCGAATAGAAGAAGAGACGAAGCTTCATGTTCTATGCCGGCGGAGAGGAGACAAGACAGCTTTTCAAACTCTGTGCTCCTCTAGTGTCTATTTGACCGTTGTCCTCATATGAGGACATTGTTCGACCAATTTTATTCTTGACTTGCGCTTCCTTGACAGGGAAGAAAAAGAAATCCCCGCCACCGTATTTGACTTCTGACTTGGGAACAGAAAGAACTTTGTCATAATTGCATGTTCTTCACGGTCGTTTTTAGATATGTCTGCAAAACAAACTTTTTAAACCACTCTATAACCGCATGTAAAGTAACTTCGAAACCAAAAACGCCATTTTAAAAAGGCAAGTTAGCACTCAATCTGCAATATATTCTTAATATTTTTGCTTATTCAAAGCTGCTATCCCAGTGTTCTGCAAGATGTTATTGACGAATACAAGTGCTTTAAGGAAATAGTGCCCAAGATAGATGTTTAAATGTTCAATTTAATATATATATATACGGTATTTGCAAAAAAAGAGCTGTCCTCATATGAGGCCATCGCCGTCCTCATATGAGAACAAGCCCAGGTCGGATAGACACTAAAGCTGGAATGTTTTCGTTTCTGTCTCATTTAAAGGTCTAGACTTTTACATGCTAGTGATAACAGCTTTCGCTCGACGAAATAGATGTTGTAGAAAGATTGAGTGTTGAAATCTTGTCGAGCATGAGGACTTCTGCGAGCATTTCAGCATCACCGAAAAGCTGAATTGCAACAGCTGCAGTTTACCGAAGCTGTCAAGTGCCCAGACAGGTTTACCGATAATGACATCTACTCTTCCTCTTTGGTCTTGTTTCAAATGAAGCCTGCGCATTGCAGAATCGCGGATCAAGAGAGCATCTGATTTATCATATCTCGAAGGGGTTGAATTGGTGGCATCCCGCCGGCAGGTCAAGGGATGAGGTCAGAATGATTTTGAGATTTTGTGGTGGATATTTTGCCTTGTGAATGCCCTCTACTCCGGGGTAGGCCCTTCTCCAGCACGTCTGGCTTTCTCGGCAATGGACTGACGCATACGGTACCCTTGGTACTTCACTTTCGGCTCTCCACAAAACCCGTACCCCTATCTGCCGCGATCACCACATGCCGGCACGGTCGCATGTCTTTGTGTTGTCGTTGCTGGCATGCATGGGTCATCCCTGGCATTGCGCCGCCCTTGCGTAGGTGGCCGCTATCTCTGCCTGCGACCTCCCCACGCCGCCGCCGAAGAGTGACCGCCGTTGCGGAGCAGACGCGACCGCGCATCGATGGAAAAACAATAAAAGATCCTGGTCATGACCCACCACCATTCGAAGTCGAGCTCAAAGATGTCTGGGTTGCTCTAGGTGGGAAGAACGTTCTTAAAGGGCTCAATTTGAACATACGGAAGGGAGAAGCTACTGCTATTATCGGGACGAGCGGTACCGGAAAGTCGACAGCACTGCGCGTCATTACTGGGCTCATCATGCCTGACGCTGGTGAAGTCATACTTAGAGGCGAGCGGCGGACCAAGTCGATTGCTCAAGAGAAGGGAAAGTTGCGCATATCGATGGTATTTCAGCACGCAGCCTTGTTCGATTCTATCACTGTCGGGGAGAATGTTGCTTTCGGCATGATGCGCGAGAGAGGCGCCCGCCGATTGCCAGACGAGCGTATCTACGAGTTGGTGAAGCTTTACTTGAAGCGCGTTGACATGGAGGAGGCGATTGACAAGTTCCCCGAGGAACTGTCTGGCGGCATGAAGAAGCGCGCAAGTGTAGCGCGCGCTGTCATCCACGACCCTGAGAAACCCGAGACAGCGCCGGATATTCTCGTGTACGACGAGCCGACGGCTGGGTTGGACCCAACAGCGTCGACTAGAATCGAGAATATGATTCGGGACTTGCAGGATGTATGCAAGACCTGCGTGGTTGTGACACATCAATTTAGCACGATTCGACGTACCGCCGATCGTGTCGTGCTCATGCATGAAGGCACTGTCGTTTGGGACGGATCGGTGAATGATCTGGATACCACGGAGAACCCCTACGTTCGGCAGTTCATGTCTGCTTCGCTGCACGGGCCATTGAACAGTGCCGATAACATTTTGTGATGTGTGTTATGTATGTAAACAAGCCCGTTAGGTTTGCTGTCCGATGAGGTCTACGGCTAGCTTGACGTATTGCCCCGGGAGACAACTGGACGCATCCTACAAGGGCTGCTTTCGACATGCTGTAGTTGCAACTAGGAACCTTTCCTGCAGCGACCGTGCGCATTTACGCTCTACAGTTCTCGTTCAGCCCAAGGCACCACCCTCGTTGAACAGAACAAGGTTCACGGGCCAAATCACCATCTGCACCAGACACAACCCTTCAAAAAAGCTGTTCTTTATTTATCGTCAACACTCGTCTCGACAATCTCATATAAGTACAGCAGCGAGACAAGCCGTTCTTTCCCTTATCCCACGACCGATGCCTATACAGTCCACACTTCCCGTCGCTGCGCAATAGTCACAAGCACCCTTCTCACCGCGCCTCTGGCAAATATCCGGATGCCCCGCACCATGGGCACGGTGTCTCCATGAAGCGGCAGCTCACGCTTTGCGACGGCGTCGCAGGGCCGCACTCTAGCTTCATCACATTACCCGTTCCTGCACATGTCTTGCATTCTACAAACTTGACGGGACCACCAGCTGGTACTAAAGTACCAACTGCCGAGCCCAACTGCGCTGTCGACGTAACCAACCCGCCTTCCTTGGCGGCAGGAACGACAGCCGGCACTGGTTTTGTCTTGTCACCCATACCCAGCCTCCACATGGGCAGCAAGAGAAGTATAGCAATAGCAGCAAACCCGATCAAAGAGGCGAAGTAGGCCCCCCATCCTAGCTTGGTAACGATCTTGGTGAGCGGATACCCAGACACGGCAGCCCCCAAGTACGCGATCCACCCAAGCAATCCGATTGTGGAGGACACAGCAGATTTGTCGACGATTTCGGCGCCCGCGAGGCCGACGAGCATTTGGGGTCCATAAATAAAGAAGCCAATGCAAAAGACGATGAGCCAGTTGACGTAGCGCCAGGTGACGGGTACGAACCACAAGCCCGCGACAGAGGCCATGACACCGGCAAGCCAGAGGACGATGACGGGAATGCGACGGCCTCTCATCATCTTGTCGCTCGCCCAGCCGGCCACCAACGAGCCCATCAAACCACCAATCTCCATGCCACTGACACGGAATGCGGCCTCTTGGGCATTGGCAACGCCCTTGAAATCAAGCAAGAATATATGGGCCCAGCTGCTAACACCTGCACGCACAAAGTAGACGAAGAAGTAACTGAAGCCAAGGAGCCAGACATAGGGGTTTGACAAGACGTACTTGAAGAGCTTTTCCTTTGCAGAAAGTTTCTCTTCTACTTGATTGGAAGCGGCTTTCGCTATATCTTCCGGGGCGACGTCGTCGCGATAGACGTCCACGGGGGGCAGACCGACGGCCTCGGGGCTATCCCTTAGCCTGTTGAAGAGGAAGAGGCCCATGCAGATGGAGACGATACCAGGGACAATCATACCGTACTGCCATCCAAAGGCACGAGCACAGTAACCAGCCAGCAAGGGGATCAGAAAACCACCCGTGTTATGACTGGTGTTCCAGAAGCCCCACCATGTGCCTCTCTCCGACCTTGAGTACCACATGGTAAGCAGCTTAGCACAGGGCGGTGCGCCAGCAGCCTGAAAGAAGCCATTTGCCAACCAGAGAGCAATAAAGGCATACAGACTAGTCTGAAAGCCAAATAGAATGTTAATAACGCCGGTGAGAGCCAGTCCAACGGACATGAAGATACGGGTAGAGAACCTGTCGGACAGAATACCGGCCAGCAGCTTGGAAAAACCGTAGGCCAACGGGAAGACACTCATGATAATACCGAGCTGCTCCAGGGAGAAGCCCAAGGCCTCGCGCATGACCGGGGCGACATAAGTGAAGGAGTTACGAGTGAGGTAGAAGGAGGCGTAGCCGGAGAAGATGGAGGAGAAGATGCGGACGCGCCAGTTGCGGTATTTGGTATCCAGCTCGGCGTCCGAGCCCATGACTGCTGTTGGAGGGGTCTGTGCCTGTGCGGCACTCGGGCCTGCCCCTGCACCCGCGCCGGCCGCGGCCATGCGCACGAACGAGGCGTGCGCGGCTCGGCGCTGGCGTAGCGCCGGGGCATGCGGGGACACGAAGGCGCGGCGGCGGGCCGCGAGCGTCGATGCGACGGACGGCGTGGTCACATGGTTTGGCAGGAGGCGGTGGACGCCGGGCGAAGCTGCGAAGGCGAGCATTGCGGCGGGGGGGGGTGGGGGGGAGGGGGGGGGGGGGGAAGGG